AAGTTATGTAGAGCATGTATAATACAATATCCATCGATGCACAATATGATGTTTATGGATGCATAACACAATATTTATAAATTCTCAATACAATGTCCATGTGTGTCCATGCATAAACATGTAGTTGAGAATGCATAAATATTGTGTTGTGCATTTATAGATATTGTGTTGTATATTGTGTGTGTTACTTATACATTTTATTAAACCTACTAATTAATTAGACACACATGGACATTGTATTTTGCATGATTTGAGTTTTCAAATCACATAAGAGCAAAATTGTACTTTTACTCCTAAAAAAATTGCAACAATAGCTCTTCAGCCTGTAATGCAATAACATAATATATTGGGCTTGTAGTGTAATTTTTTCCTTTTTTGAGGCTTGGAGTGCGACTCCCCTAAATTTATATCTATAGAGTAGTCTATAATAAAATTTAAAACTTTAGAGGCATATACTTGGCAAAATAGTAGGGCTCTTATGGAATAATTTATAATATGAAAGATTTAAAGCATTCTAAAATTAAATGAAGGGCCAACCAAGAAATCTTGGATAAACTTATCCTCTAACTCCTTTATAAAGTTGACTATTATTGATCACGTTGCCATTGTTGTAACTCTAACGACGATGATTAGGTTATTCGTAACAATGCTTTGGTGGCAGTGACCAATGATATTTTTTTTAAAAAAATAAGCGCATTTGGTTAATTAACTCAAAGAACTGAATTACATTTATGTTATCTTGGATACACATAAATTTGAATATAGATTTGAGTCAAATCCATTGTTTGAGTAATTAAAAATAGCGAGAATGACAGAGAGGTCTTAAAAGGATCAATTAATTCAAGTTGGGTCTCAAGTGTCAAATTTCAGGAATTTGCAACTCAATTTCTCAATTTTGCATCTCTCAATTTCTTCTGTTAAAATTTGAATTACAAGTTGTAAATTTCGTCATAATATAGTTGCAAAATTGAGATATAGACTTACAAATTTTTAGAGTTTGGCATTAAGAACCTAACTTGAATTAATTGATCCTTTTGTGACTTCTTTATCATTCTTCTTTAAAATTATGTGAATTTAGATTTGGCCATAATCTAAATCCAAATCCTGTATCAATCTCTTGGTAATTTAAAATTCTTTCTAAACTTCTATTATTTTAAATTTTAATGGAAGCTTCTCTCTTCCATTACATTTGTTTGTTGACTTTACTTCCTTCTCGACTTCAACACCTCTACCATTAGCCGACATCCATCGGGACAACAAGCGATGACCAGGACTAGATTGTTGGCAACCATTGAGACTAGATCGTTAACGTCTACTAAGACCTGACAGCCAACGTTGACAAGGATTGGACTGTTAGCGTATACTATGGTTAGACTGTCGACTTTGACTTGGATTGCGCGGACAACACCAATCGGGACCAGACTGTCGATGCTGAATGGGATCAGATTGCTATCTAAATTGTCGACACCAACTGAGATCATAGCTCTGACCTATACAGGAATGTCGACTTTGACTAGGATCGAATGGCCATGAGGGATTAGGATCGGATGGCCTGCTTTGACCAAGATCAAATGGCTAGTTGTGATAGAGAATAGACCATTGGCTTCGACTAAGATTAGATGGTTGATACTGATTAGGTCTGAATGGCCAGCTTTGACCAAGATAGGATGACTGGGACTGGATGCTAAGGGGTTGGGATTGAACGACCAGCATTGATAGGGATTGAATAGCTTGTGCCAATCTAGATTAGACCATTGGTGTAACATTCCAAAAATTAACCTGAGGTTAATTAAGTTAATTTAGAGCAAATGAGTAATTTTGGAGGAATATTTAGATATAAATAATTTTAGTTAGAAGATTATTATTGAATTTAATTTAGATTAAAATCCTAAGTTATGATTTTATAGTAAATAGAAATAGTAATGATAATATTATAAAAAGAAAAAAAGAAAGAAAGAAGAAGGAAAAGGAACATAAAAAAATGAAATAAAATAAAATAAATACTTAGGTGTTAGAGTATGAGTGAAAACTGTGTTAATAATATTATTGACACATTGGAATATGATCAATTGTAGATTAATTTTCTTTTGATACCATTCAAGCTTTGGAAGGCTTTAGAAGTGTTGTAACTTGAGGGGGTAACCTTTAACCTCTCAAAGGTTGAGGTAACCGGGAAAAATTTATTTTATACATTTGTATATTAATTAATTAATTATGTTGGTGAAACAAAAGAATATATATATATATATATATATCTAAATTTTGAAATGGTTGTTTGTAATACATGTGGCTTGGTTGAAACTCTATGATTTGTGACCAAGTTAATTGTGACTTGGTGTGAGTAAGAAGATTAATAGTTGATGATAATGTGTACATCCTTGATTATAAATTGTGAATTATGCATAGTGATGAATTGTGTACGAGCATGTTGAGTTTTATATGATGCAAATGTGGTTTCATATGATAATATAAAAATTGATGGAAGAGGCATGATTGAAATATGATGATTCTTAATGTTTGTTAAGCAAGAGAATTAATGAGCATGTGGGATAATTATAAGTTATATATATATGAGCTTTTGAAATGCATTTTCTCATGAGCATGATCATATGGCGGGAGTTCGTCTTAGTGAAGGAGTTAGCATTTATGCAAAATCCATATGGTACTTGGCTATTAACCAATAATCCTAAGGGTTATAGCCGCTACTTACCTTGTAAGGTACCGTAGCATTGTTCCTATTAAGGGACTTGACCCTACTGGCCTACCTAGAGTTTTGGGTATGACACCCCATAGTGTGTGATTTGAGAAAAATCGTGTTCATAAGTAAGTAAGGTAACCCTGGCCCTGTAGCCCCTCACGATATGATTAAGGCCTTGGATAGTCTCACCACATGGATGATCCCTTTTGGTTGTTGGCCCACGGATTTCATGTCAGAGAAAATAAGGGGGATATAAGGGAGAGATTGATCATGCATATTATTATTATCATGCCATTTAAGTGGTTGATGGCTATGTTGAGAATATGATTATAATTGTAGAAATGAGAACATGTAGTAATTATGCGAATAACGTATATGTGGCCATTTGTGTAAATTTTTTATTTGACTTTATTCTTGAAATTATTCACATGAGTTAAATGTTAATGTGATTAACATGTTATTAATGTGATTGTTTGCATGGTTACCTTGATGAATTTATTGGCCACTTGCATTCATGAATAATTATCATACATTTGTATAATTTAGATGTACCTTAGTTACTGAGTTGTTGTACTCACTCCTCTCTTTTAACATATCAGAGGAGCTAGCTCATCTCAGAAGAATAGAGGAAAGGAGCAATAGCCCAAGTGCTAGTAATCACTTCTGTAGGCTTTTTTCTTTTTATTTTGATATGTGTACTTAGTTCATGATATTGCCAACTAGGATAATATATTCTTGATTCACTTGCATTATGGGTTTTGTGTTGGAAAAAATGTATTTTGAGCCCTGGGGAATGTGGTTTGATGCTTGTGCTATATTAACGGGCCAAAATATTTGTGCAAGTGAAAATAGTTATTATCTACTTAATTTGAGAACTTGAATATTGTTATGGTCTCCCCTTATGTTTTTGATGTCCAAGGGTGAGCAGTTGATATTAATTATACGTGAATGAAAAGGAAAATTCATGCATATGATAGGCTATTGATGAATAGATGATATATAGAGTATGATTATTAGGTAATAGTCATTGTGATAAATGTGATTGAGACCTTGGCCCCCCGCTACCAGTTATGGAAGGGTTTGAGTGGCCAAGTGTTATGTTGTAAATATGTATATATGTATTTTGAAGTAAGGCATAGAGAGAAAATAAAGGGGAAAGCTCTTCTCCCATGTTGATGTGTTTCCTTTATTGTGCTTCCGCATATGTCTAACTGAATGATATGAGTTCTTAAAATATTTTAAACACTTGGGATCCCTTTAAATTGAATTGTTTGTGAAAATACATGTTAAGAATTTATTTAGGTTAATCTTTTATAGGATAATCCTTTTAGAGTAGTCCTTGATTTACTATGGTCAGTTTGATGATTAAGTCTTAATTTAAGACACCCTTTACAGTTGGCGATGATCAGAATCGGACCACCGTAATGACTAGGATTAGATCGCCGACTTCGACTGGGATCGAGGTGGACTGGGACTGGATGATTGACACCTATTATGATTGGACAGCTAGCTTTGACCAGGATGGGACCTTTGGTGACATTGATTGGGACCGCCCTCTTCTTCCTCTAAATGCCAGTTTGTCATTTTCGGCGTCATTCAATGCTAGTCTAGTTTCATCCAACCTATGTTGATTTGCCACCACAACCATCTAGAACCAGTTTGTGAACATCGTCTTTAATTCATCCGTCTTTTATTGTCCAACGCCATATGTCGTTGTTAATAGAAAATGTTTTGGTGTCGTCATCTAAGTTCAATTCGTAGCCCTTGGACTGTCGTTATTGTCCCTTGCTAATCCTTAGGCATTGTTTGGGATCGAATTACCAATGTCGACACGGACCGGACTATCACTACCGATCGAGACTGGACAATTGATGTCATTCAGGTTTGGATAGCAAGAGTTGATTGAGATTAGGTTGCCACTCTTAATTGGGATTGGACCGCTAACTTTGATTAGGATCACATTGCTAACATCGTCTAAGTTGCCTTCAAATTCAAATATAGAATTTAAAATTTAAAATTTTATTTAAGATCAAAATAAAGTATTTTAATATTATAATTTAAAATTTTTTATATCATTCAAATAAAGAAGTTAATGGCAAATTCAAATGTAAGATTTTAAATATATAATTTCAAATCCACTCATCCAATCAGAACCTTAAGGATTTTGGGTCTTTCTGAAAATTTTAAAATAATTTGGATCATTCACGCTATAAATTATCTTCCAGGGCCCTGAATGTTATTCTCCCTATATAATTTCTTTCTTTTCTTTTTTAAAAAGTTAAGGACTCGATTGATCGTGAATTTGAGCATAGACAATGCCCACTCAAGTCTAGACCTCTTCTCAAAGCACTTCTCCGTCGCCACTCTCACTCCCAGTTCGCTGTCGATTGCTGATATTAAAGCCCTCAAGTGTCCCCGTCGACGGTCAGCTGGAGTATTGTACTCTAACTAGATCTCGACGGAAGTTACCGATCGGAGACGGAGCCTTTCACCCACTTTCAGCCTTCTCGTTTGCACTGGTATGTGCATTTTTCTGTATTGTTTTAGTCTTTCAATATTTTTAGATCTAAATGGTCTCTTCTGCAAGTTCCCTCTCTGTTTTAACTATGTTTCTGTTTTTAGATTGATTGATTACATGTAACGCAAAATTTTGGGCTCGCTGGCTTGTTCATTATTTGGCTAACCCAAATTAGAAGGCTGTGTTGGTATCGTCTGATTGCAGACTTTAAGGATGGTGCTAAACGAACCAATTTTTTTTGGAAATTTGAAACACTTTTAGATTTATGTATATCTGGCTTTTAATACCAAATAGGCAAATACTTTGTGACATTTGCCCCCGAGAATGGTGGGTTCGGTCATGCTTGCACTAGGCTTTAGACATGTCTGCAACCACTTCAGGCTTAGTTTTCTTAATTGTAGTGCTTTAGATTTATTGTTATTATTTTTTTGGGTGGGGATCGGGTATCATTGTATTGTGTGGCCCATGAGCAGTACATGATACCAAATGTTTCAGATTTGGATTCTATACAAATATGGATCTTTTAAAGCTTCTAAAGAGGAAGAAAATAGAGAGAAAAAGAGTGGGTGACACTGAAAAGAGAGGGGTTGGACCATGCGCACTCTTTTTTGTGTCAAACGCATTCTTATTTTAGATGTATTTTACAAGCGTTATATTTTAGACGATTGACAGTCCAATTTTTTTGGCTATTTGAGTATTTCCTGTGTATCATAGATTTTAAACATTGGGTAATTCTGGATTCAGATGTTAGAAATGTTGTTGGGCATCTGACTTAGGTAGAGTTGATATCCACCCATTGCCTTTCCCACACCTAACCTGCATGATTTGTTTGAGAGTGAACCCCTATGAATGAGTTTTAATTGCTGTTCTTCCGCAACAGAACCATGGGAATTGAGGAAAGATGGTGTGTGGTAACTGGAGGACGGGGCTTTGCTGCTCGGCATTTGGTTGAAATGCTACTCCAATACAATACGTACTCTGTTCGGATCAGTGATTTGGGAGCTAACATTGAACTTGAGCCAGCTGAAGAATCAGGAATTCTTGGTGAAGCTTTACGCTCGGGTCGTGCCCAGTATATGACTTTAGATCTTCGTAACAAGGCCCAAGTACTTAAAGGTACCTCTTTTTCTCCTTTGGTTATGGTTGCTTAACTTCTATTGCAACTAAAAAGTAAACATGTGAAGGAGGATATTTGGGTTCTGCGTAACTGCTATTTTGTCACTGCAGTATGTGAAGGAGCTGAGGTTGTGTTCCATATGGCTGCTCCAAACTCTTCCATTAACAATTTTATGCTTCATCATTCAGTCAATGTTGAAGGTAAATGGCTGTTCTTCTACCTATCTCCTTCACAGGACCAAGTTGTTTGGTATTAGGCTTTGAATGTGATGGGAAATTTGCTTCTGAAGGGACAAAAAATGTCATCAATGCTTGTGTTGAGCTCAAAGTGAAGCGACTTATCTATACGAGCTCTCCTAGTGTGGTTTTTGATGGTGTTCATGGAATTCTTAATGGAGATGAATCACTGCCTTATCCCGCTAAGGTACTTGCTTCAGCAAGTTTGCATAAAATCACTGCTAATATCAGTTTCTTCTTTTCAAGGTTCACACTGATCTGAACTTGGGATGTGTGCATTTGTTGATGTTTATCGTTCAATCAAACAATTGGAAGTCATTTGTTTTTTATGGGTAATATTAGTCCAATAACATGGCTTTAAATTGTATTCAACTGATTTCAGCATAACGATCATTACTCTGCAACTAAAGCAGAAGGGGAGGCATTGGTCATTAAGTCTAATGGGACTGAGGGGCTTCTAACATGCTGCATACGCCCCAGCAGCATTTTTGGGCCTGGAGATAAACTGTTTGTGCCTTCATTAGTTGAAGCTGCTAGGGCAGGGAAATCAAAGGTGAGTGTGGTTTCATCTCCTATTGATTTAAAGCTGTATGTGGCTCTCTTTGTTCACCAAAAAACAAAAAGTTCTGTATGCATTTTAATAATTAATTTGAAGGCATATTTCCACATAAAAGTTACTCAGCAACCAAAATATTGTGTGTAAAAGGCTTAAATGTTTTCATTGTTGGATTTTAAAGCAGAAACTAGATATTATCTCGAAGATGTCTTTTGAAGCTCCCCATTCCACATCCTTTACTGGGGGGTTTAGCAAAATGACAACTGTGAGCCTTTGACGTGACTGTTGTTAGGTGTGTCTACTGATGTTCTGATGCATTGGATCAAATCACCTGGAGTCATGGCAAATCTCTGGCATTTTTTATTGCTGAAGCAAATGATTGAATCATTAGACATTTTAACCTGCGGTTGGACCTATCTAGGTGTGTCAGAATGCATCATATCCATAAATTAAATAAAATAAGAATGATGTTTTGATGTGTTGGATCACAGTGATTCATACATCAAATTGTGTTTTGGTTACAATAATGTTGTGCAGAGTACCGGTAATTCTCTGGTACTTCATGCTGCTTGAGCAAATGATTGCACCGTTAGAGTCCTTATTAGGCTTATGAGATTGAGCTTGTATAATACATTATAAGTGTATCATTAGTTTGGTGCAAGTATTGTACTGTATAATTTTGTCCGTTAAAACATGATGGATAACTTAATTAGGCCTTAATGGTGGCTGGGTGGGATTAGGCCTTTTTATTTTTTGACATATAAGCTGCTCTCAATGGAGGCTTGAGCCATGAATGAAGAACCATCAATCGTGGAGGTAGTGGCATAGAGACTGTACCAGTAATTTTGGTCATGGGATTGAAATTGGGAGATAGGTTGAACTCGAAAAGCTTGGTAGATTGGTCAGAAGGGCTGTAATGGATATTCTGAAGAAGAGTTGAGACACAACATTCTGGGTATTAAAGGTTGCAGCCATGGATGGCTCAACTAGTTTGGGACAAAGCTGGTGATGCTCACTTTTTATCATTGTCACTTTTCCTCTTGATTTTGAGTTGTTGACTTAGTTTCAGATTCAAATGGTGCTTTGAGATTAAGAGTGACTTTCTTCCTATGATCAGTGGATGCGCTCAGAAACTCAGGTTGAAGATGAGGATGGTGTAGTCATTATGAATGATGAAGAATTGAGCATTGGAGATTGGGGTTCTTTTGCTTCTTTGCTTAGTTTTTTTCAGCTCCTACTAGTGTTGCCACCTTGTAATAATTTGAACCATACAAAAATTTTAAAATAATTACTAAATCATAAAAGTATGATCCTTATAAGGAAACATTTAAAAGAAAAGGACAAATTTATTGCTTGTTGGTGCAGGCAAACCATAACAACAGCATCGGCTCAAACAAATATGATCCATAAGATATGTCTTTATGTTTGTTTTGACCTTTTCACCATATTTTCCTTTTATTTTCTAATGTAATGTACAATAGAGATTGAGTGTTGCCAAAGAGGGGCTTTATTTATCCGATTTAGTGTTATACAGTGTGTGATTAAATAAATGATAGTACATAGTATTATTTTATGCAATATAATATCTCATGTATGTTACGTTACACAAAATTTTGTCAAATCAGGCCTTATCTCATCATATCTTATCCTGTTTGGCCTTATTCTAAAATAATGATTTTTAATTGGATCAAACTGTTAGAAAGTATCCATAAATTTGTTGAAATTTGATTGTAAGACCAATGCAAACTAAATTGCTTCATTGCATGTGGAGAGATGTGGAGGCATGCACAAGTGTGGCGCTGAAAAGAATGCATTTATAATTACTTATTAGTAGAATCTTTCTTCAGCAAAGCATATTTTTCATATGTTGATATATATTTCTCTCTTGACCAGTTCATTATTGGTGATGGCAATAACCTTTATGATTTCACTTACGTTGAAAATGTGGCACATGCCCATATATGTGCCGATCGAGCTCTAGCTTCGGAAGGGACAGTTGCAGGAAAAGTCTCAGGGCAGGTGATTATGTTTTATTGTTTAAGTGTGTAAAGGAAGATTCTTAAGACAGACAGTTCAATTAAAAGTAGATCACTGGCTAACTCAACAAGTGCTCTTTGCATTTCTCCTGCCAAAGCGAAAATAATTAACCAGTCTATTTTGCAAGTTAGATTTTTTCCCTTGCCAATTAACAAATGGATCTCCATTGTGCAGGCCTATTTCATCACAAATATGGAACCTATAAGGTTTTGGGAGTTTATGTCACTTGTTCTGGAAGATCTTGGATATGAAAGGTAGTTTCCTATTGTACTGGATCACAAATTAAAATTTGACGACTATTTACTCATGCTCAAAGTTGTACTTCCTTTTATTCATTTTGTATACCAATCAAATAATATAAATTTAAGAGCCACTTTTATATCCCACATTAGGCTGTGGATGCTATGTAATCATAACGAGAGATCAAGGAGCTCTTATATTATTTTTATGATTTTTTTTTTGGCCAATAGGAGTATTGGCTTCTTGTTTGTATTATACAATAATCAAGAAATTCCTGTGTCTTACAATGGTTTTTAACAGTTAGTTAACAAGAAATCTGTTTATAGATTTTATTTAAAAAAGTCATATTGTGGCACATCTATGCCTTTTCTTTCTTCTCTGAATTGATAAAGTTTGCAGGCCGAGAATAAAGATCCCTGTCTTTGTTATTATGCCAATTGCGCATATGGTGGAGTGGGCTTATAGGCTGCTAGGTCCATATGGGATGAAGGTTCCACAGTTGACACCTTCAAGAGTAAGACTTTTGTCTTGCAGCAGAACTTTTAATTGCTCAAAAGCAAAGGATAGCATTGGCTACACACCCATCATAACACTTCAGGTTTGAAAACGTTTCACTATAGGAATTTGATACATGACTATCTTTCTATGCAGAAATACACTGATGCTTCGCTCATATGCTTAACTGTCTGTTGTTGCACAAATTTATGAGGAGCTTCAGTGGAGTTGCTACGGCTCTGGTCATCTACATTCCTTATATTATTCTTGCTTCAAAAAGGATGAAAAATTACATAATTTAGAGTCCATAAATCTATTGGCAATGTTGAGTTAAAATTAACTTGCATACCATGAACTCTGCTATATGATGTGGTTTTTGAAATGGTCTGTATGTAGTGCACTAATCCAATCAGTGATTGTATAGCCCTATTTGTTCATGGGAATTTAACGAGTGATAACGTGAGATTTCTCTGCAGGAGGGTCTACAAAGGACTATTAAATCGTATCCACATTTGAGAGCTGAAAATCAGCTTAATACTAAAAGAGAAGGGCCTTCCAAAGCTTCCATATATCTTGGAAGTGGAAGAGGTATGAATAATTCTGTTAACTTGTCCATCCTTTAGGAATCTGTATACAGCAGCATGTCTGTACGAAGGTATAGTAGCATTTGAACAGAACCTCTAAGAAACCTGGAGCAACAACTGAGTTCTTTGGTCTAATCCTGTAGAGTTTGCTTTTGAACTTCACTGCACTAGCCTTTTCCACTTGCTCTTACAACTTAGTGCTACATTCTGTGTGTGTGTTATAAATTCCTAGATTAATGAGATATCCTTGATGTATTTTAAGTGTCAAATTTGACGATTGATCATGATTAATGAAGGCTAGTCAGAAACACAATTATGGATGTAGTTTTATAGGTTAGGCAGCACTCTGCATTTGATTTTCTAAATTTGCATTTCCTTTTTTTTTTCCTTGGTGAAAACTAAGTCAAAGGTCTTTCATTTGTCTAGAGACAAGTTCTCCTTTCTAAAGAAGATTATGTTATTTGTTCAGACATGCATTGTTATGTCCTCACAGTATGTTTACAATCTAAATTAGCTGGCTGTATCAATTCTTGTTTACTTCATGTACACAATGGTGTAACTTCTTGGTGTTGTGAGTTAGTCTGTGGTGTACATTTATTGTTCTATAGATTTTAGTCAATGTGCAAATTACTGTCACTGGCTTTTTGCAGTTGCTGACACATTGCTCTGGAAGGATAAGAAGCAAACTGTCACTGCATTGTTAGTTTTGTTTGCCGTATACTACAACTTCATTGCATCCGGGTCTACTGTTGTTACTGCTCTTTCAAAGCTTCTATTGTTCACATCAGTCTTTTTATTTGTCCACAGCATTCTACCTGAAAAAATGTAAGTTTTTTGTGTTTTTGAACATGCTAAGATGTCCGCATCAATATACATGTCCGCTAACGACATAGTATTTAGCCTTTAGCGTCTTGTTTTCTTTTAATTTCTCAGATTTGAATGATGTTATCCCTCCCCCCCCCCCACCCTTGGTGAAGTTTACGCTCTCCTTTTGAATGAAGCCTTTCTTTTGTCCCATAAAGAAACTTCATTATACAATGACTTAAATGATGGCATAACTCAAGGTGCTATAATTACCTGTAGGTTGGGATATACAATTGAGAAAGTACCCGCATCTTGGTTTCACTTATCAGAAGATAAGTCACATCAAATTGTTTTCTCCCTTGCTTCTTCATGGAATTTCGCTGTCAATGTTTTGAAATCTCTTGCAGAAGGGAATAATTGGGTGCTGTTTCTCAAGGTATGTGATTATGCATGCTAAATTGCATTTCTTTCATATTGCTTTCTATCAAATACCTTGCTACATATTCCATGATATAAATTTTAACTTCTACTTAGGTCTTGACAATTTCATAGAACATCCTTGAAAGATTTTGAAATAGTTATTAAAATATTGTTTATTGTTGATTGCTTTTCTCATCGAGCAAAGCCTGTATACTTTTCAGCTGAAATTAACATGGATGTACAATTTGTCTTGTGTTATTCAAGCTATTTAACTTGCATACGCTGACTGCTTAGTACATTCTCCCTTAAATCTGATATGCTAACACTGTCTTTGCTTTGGTGATCAATAGGTTACTGTATCTCTCATCATTCTTAGCTTCCTTGGAGCCTTATCATTTCAGAATACATATGTTATAGGTATGTTGTCTGTATTGCTGTACTGAGATGATGAGTTCGTTCCCATAGAAAAGTCCATCCCAAATCTGATCTGGCATGCTTGTCTCCATGCAATTGAATTGAGGGAAAATTATGAATAAGTCCCAATTTAGGGACTCCTGCAAATTTGAAAAAATACTCTCAAGTCTCTTGAGACTTGGTTGTATATAAAATGACATAAATGCCCTTAGACCCACCTTTTTGACTTGAACTTTGACCGGCATTGGCTGGCTGCTGGCGCCATTGGCTGCAATTGTTGACTGGTCAACTACTGGTATAAATAATTATTTTTTTATAAATTTTATTAATATTTAGTATTTATATTTACAAGTCAAACATTTGAGATTTACAAGTCAACATCTTATATTTATAAGCGAAGCTAAGCATTTTTTTTTTTTGGTCATAGTTAACTTGTAAATTTCGAAGTTTGGCTTGTAAATTTTAGAGGAGGATTTGTAAATATGAGAAGTTGGCTTGTAATTTAATATGTAAAATTTTATAACATATACAAAAATTGCTCAGATTCACTTGTAAATCTAAGAGCTTGTATAATTATTAAAGTATCAATGTTTTAAGAGGTTGACTTGTAAATCTGAGACATTTACTTGTTAATTGATGAAGTTTGAGTTATAAATATTTAAGTATCAATATTTTAAGAGGTTGACTTGTAAATTTAAAAGGTTGACTTGTAAATTTGAAATATTTGCTTGCAAATCGATGAAGTGAGTTGTAAATATTGAAGTATCAATGTTTGGAGAGGCTGACTTATAAATTTAAGATGTTGACTTGTGAAATTGAGAAGTTTACTTGTAAATCAATGAAGTTTCAATTGTAAACTCATGAAATTTCACTTGTAAATATTAAAGTATCAATATTTTAGGAGGGTGAAGTTTACTTGTAAACAGATGAAGTTTCATTTGTAAATCCTTGAAATTTCACTTGTCAACTGCTGGCTGCTGGGCTGCTGCTTGCTGCCAGTGAATGTTCTTCAGCCGTTGACTGGTCAATGTCAGTCAAAGGAGGCAGGTCAAGGGGTATTTGTGTTATTGCACAAGCAAAATTAATTACAATTGACAGTACCCAATTTGCTGGACTTATTTGTAAATAAGTCCCTTATTTGGGACTTATATGTAATTTTCCCTTTAACTAAATCCTACCACATAAATCGTGACAGGTACCCAATATTAAATGGAATTTGGATTCTCTGAAGTGTAAAGCCTGTAAAGTGTTTTTCAAGTAAAGACAGTAATAAAATGAGAGGGATTGTGTTGGGGACCTCTTTTTTCCATTTTTTAACACCATCTCTCTCTCAATTCTCAGTTTAGCGAATCCCAATTCTATCAAGTCAAATGATACATGCATTTGGTTAATTTTGCATCATGCTTGAAACATTAGGTAAAACTTTGAACAGTTTCAGGAAGCTCATTTTGCAAGTCTATTCGGTGCCTTGACACCAGATACAAGTAATAGAGCCATGGCATTTCTCTTCTGGGATTGCTTATAAATTTTATAAACCTCTTTCCGAAAATTGCTATTGTGAATATTAAAATTGTTGAAGTGGGATTTATTTGTTTTTGGTGGTAAACTTGAGACTTTGAATTCTTTACTCATGTTAATGCCAGTGCTTGCTGCCACAATATGAGCTTGTTTTTCTAGGCTGTTATAAGCTTCCATTTACCTATTTGCTTTTCATCAGTTCGGTGCTTGAATGGAAACGTGATATACTGAACCAGTTATTCTCATGGGTACAGGATTGCCTTTGCATTTATAGCTTTCTACGTATATGAGAAGAAGGAACAAGAAATTGATGCCCTATTTCTGAAAACACAACATTTCGGATGCAAGTTAAAATCTGACTTCAGTGGGAGGTTTCTTTCTTCAAAGAAGATTGATTGATAGCTAGTAGCATGTGTTTTTTTTTTCTTTGGGTTTGGCTAACATGGGAAGTTGCGTCTTCATTTGCTAGTTCTGTGGATTTTTGTTTTGATTGTTCGACAAATCTAACATGGATTGCAAGCCTGCATTGTTCGAAGTTCGCAAGCTTCTTAAATGAGTTGTACTGATTAGCTATGGGGAATGAATTAAAGAAACTTAAGTCCTTCCTTAAAAAAAAAAAAAATTACCGAAAGTTCTGCAGCACAACCAGGTGATCGTTCAGAATACTTCACTTCAGATAATATCTGCATCAATATCTCTCAGTCAGAGAGAAATCTGTATGTTATTCCTTCTTCTTTTCTTTTTCTTTTTTAAAACTATTATTTCATTTTGTTTGGTAGAAAAGTAATTATTTTGAGTAAAATTTTGTCATCTAATCATCTGGATGGTTAAGCTTCATTTTAAAAAAAAGAAGTGAATTTAACTTATTTAAATTTTGTAGATCAATTTTTTGGGGCCAAAATTTGTAAATGAATTGAATAATTATTTCTCAATTTGTTTGTCAATGTTATTTTTTTGGTTTGTCGCTAACGTTTTGCGAGTGGCCTGGCCTGGCCTTTGTGAGGTAACATTTTAATCCTTGCCGAGGGTGCTCCCTCCGCGGCTCAAAGTGCTAGTACAGATTTTTGCTGTTAGCTAATGGTTCTCTTTTTTATTTCTGAATCACGTAAATATTTTTTTAATATATAGATATCATTTTATTGGAAAGAATATCCTGTTTGACTTTAAATGTGAACATTTCTTTAAGTAGAAAATTTAATTTTTGTTTGTTCATGTTGTAAGAAACTTGTTTTTTTCTGTTAGATTTGGTTGAAGCACATAAACCTTTGATTGTTAAATGTTTTAATTTCATAATGTTAAAGGAAAAATAATATAGTTTTAAATTGATCATTAAAAATGGAAAGAAAAGCAATTGAGGATCGAAGGTAAAACATTAGAAAAATTAATAGATCAAAACCAAATGAAATTAAGAGATGAGGGTAAAACTCTAAATAATATGAAAAGGCAATAATGAAATTGAGAATGGAGTTGAGATATCAA